ACTGGAAATGAGAGGACTGACAAGAACTGTTATTAATTAATTTACTGCCTGTGGGCTAGCGGCAAAAGCTCTTCAGAACTATCAGACTCATCATCCCATCAAACAAGCTGGCAGGGCATCCCTTCTGAGGATGCCCTGTTCACACAAATCTGTTAAAGCAAATACTTTTGGTTTTCGTCTATTGTTCATCTGGACAAGAGGACAAGGTCAATCTGGACACAGCAGATGCTGAATCATCACAACCCAATCCAGTCCCGTACAGTTAAAGTTGCCTAGGGTACATGACATATGGGTTTGCAACCTTCAGTAACTCACTTTCTTTGCATTTGCATGAACTTCCCACATGGCAAGTCATAAACTGAAGTTAGTAGGGAAGGAAGATGTGCAACTCCTGCTTATTTGTCAAAAACAGAGAGGAGATTCCATCCAACCCCATTTGATGAAGTAATACACCTTTTTACTTTTTGTGTGCACAGTGCTAAATGCCTTCCTGACTTCCACCAGCTTAGCTACTACGTAAACAAGTACAATGAAACAAATTCTTTCATTCCTGGGCACGCTACTAGCATTTTAAAAGCCTAGAATTGCTTGGAATTGCAAAGGCACTATTCCACTTCAACACTCTGGTCTCACTGGCAGGTGTGTTTTCTGATCGTGTCCTTGTTTGCTTGGGGGAATCACAAAAAGTCTGTGACAAGGCAGAAGGAACTCTTACTGAGCACAGCCCTGCAGGCCGTAGCCTGAGAAGAGCATGAACATCCCCGCTGCTCTGTGACCGTATTGCTACACCACTGCCAAGCGCCAACACTTGTGTGTCAGAGTCAGTGAGAGGGAAGTCGTGGTATTTTGGTCTGTTTACAACGCAACTTATTTGCACATATACAAGAGACAAGAGACAACCGCCAGTAGCAAGCAAGCAATCTCTTCTAGAAAGCTCAGCCCCGACACCCAGGCCTACTTTCCAGGAAGATTTCCCCGAACGCTGTTTCCAAATGCCATAAATCAACTTTCCATTTCCCAAGGAGTACTACAGAACAAAGCCAACGGGACAGAACTTCCTCAGGAATTAAAACCCAGCTTGCAAGGAAATATAAAGTGTATGTGTTGCCATGCTACTTACACTCACTCATTTGGCGCAGTATTCTTCATAAAAATTTTGCACCTAATCAAAGCAAGTATTGCCCTCTTTGCTGAACTGGTTTTAGATCTGTTCACAGCCATCTAGAAACATATTCTGCATGGCAAGTATTTCTGTGGTGAGTGTAATTAATGTCTATAAACCCTTTTGCAACCCTCTATTGAAGTGTGCTCTGGGTATTAAAGTCAACAAAGTTGACAGGAACTGAGTCGAGGGAGCCGGAAGCAGAGCCAGCCCTGCGACACGCTGACCCGCTGCTTGTGTTACCCAGCTATCGCAAGCACTGCCTCGCCAGGGTAGGCAGCAAAGAGAATTAACAAGAAAAAGCGATGATGCAGCAGCTTGCAAAATTTCCTGACAGGAGCAGAAATATAAAGCAAGTGAAGACCGAAAGACACAAATAAATAATTGAGAATCACTGAATCAGAAACTCCTTTAAATAGGAAAGCATGTTAACGACACTAAAGCAATAGACAGAGGTAGTCAAAATAGGCAAGAGAAAAGTGGAAATTTTTAATTCACTGAGAAGGAATTTGGTCATTTACTCTGTGGCTGGTCACTGGTGTTTGTTAGAAAGGTTGAGTGGGTTTTGGGGTTTAATTGTTATTGTTTGTTAATCCCATGCAGCAATATAGAACTGATGTTTCTGTTGGGGGCCGGATGTTGTACTACATGGAGTATTTACTGATCTGCTCCATTCCTCAGTGCCCGAGCACAGTAAAGCCTCAGCATCACCGTGATACTTGACTCTCTTTTCTAGGACACCTACGCCTCCAGCCCTAAGTTGGCAGACTCGGGTGTCCTCGAGCTGAAGGAAAGGCCCAGATCTGTTTCCAAACACAAATTTGGCTCATCTGTGCTTGCTTATGTTGCAGAAGCACCTCCGAAGCACAGGCAAGAGTGATGGCTCTGTTGCACTAGGCACTACACAGTGTTGTAAGAAAATTAAGAAAAGGTGATCAGGAGTCCAAGATGATCCAGAATAAATTTCCTTTCATAAATGTTGTCAACTCTGAGAGATTTTTTTTTTCTTCACTTTAGAATACTAAACTTTTCAAGCTGCATGGTCTCTGGATTTCTTCCCCACCCCATGTCCGTATCACACCTACCACACTCAAGTCTTGGTCTATAACCAGGACTTCTTGTGGCTGCCACAGCACAAAGAAGAAAATAACTGAAATATTGTAATCCTGTTTGTTTTCTCTATAAACAAAGTGTCCCACTGGTAAAGGTTGGCCTGCTAGTGACTCTATTTTATATTTACCTGTCCCTCATTGTCTACAGCATACAGTTATTGCTTTTCATTTTGCCATGCTTGTCAGCATAGCATTCAAGGTTGAGCTTTTAAGATGTGGTTTGTGCTAGCAGACAAATGCTTACAGAGCTTTCTCAAAAGGCATGAAAGTATTATAACCACGTGTGACCTGGAAACACGCTTGCTTAAGCACCTCCATGAACTGAGTTAAAAGCTATCACAGTTCCAGTCCTGGAATTGGCAAGTATGACTTAAATGTGGAGTCTTATAGGAGAGGCTTATTGAAGGGTCCCCTCAGGTGATGTTCACTAAAACCTGTGATTTATGGAAGTGAAGGAAGAAAACAACATCCCTGCTTCCCCCCCTAACCAACTTTGAACACTGTGTCCCAGCTATTCCAAAAGGAAACTGCCTCCACGAAGTCTCAGCCTGCTTCTCCTAGCTCTGCCTGCTTCAGTTACTCTGTTCTAACCTTTTTCCCAGGACATAAATGGTAATTTCAGACCAAGTACACAAGCTTACCTCATTAGCAGGGGTATTTATAATACTTTAGAACATTTACAAGCTACAGTGGGATACCACAAAGTGAGGCTCACAAGTGATTCATCCCCAACATCCTCCAGGATTTTCCAGTTCTGACCATTGTACAAACCTGAGCCCATCAATGAGGCCACGTGCACAGCTTCTCTCAGTGATACAGAAATAACTTCTCAAAGCACAGTACCTTCTCTGCAGGGCAAGCAGGGAGAGGGACGCTGCATCCCAAGAAGCTTAGCTGGGGCTTAACTGCTCAATCCAGATATGCCTAAATGTTAGAGATGTTTACGTCTGCACTTTGCAGCTGTAGGAAGGAGGGGTACCCTTGAGGATACCTATTCTAGACTATCACGACATGATTAACTCAAGATATTCCTGAGGCTCGTGCTAGTGT